GGGAATCCTCCAGTAGGGGACACTTGCTCCCGTGACAAGAGAATAGCTCCCTCACGTTGGAAACCTATCCCTATTCCTGTATCTACAGAACAAGATGTGACATCACAGATGGCAAAAACTAAAAATCACTTGCTGCAGCTTCTATTGCAGATGGTGAGCAGCTCACAGTGTGCAGTGGAATCAGAGGAAGTCATTTCAGTCCAGGAGAGGAGCCGATACAACCGACTGAAAGGAAGGCCAGGTCAGATTTCACAATTTCAATAAAAAAAACAAATAAAAGGTGTTGGCCTCCGATATACATTAAAGTGGATTAAAATGGGGTTCACTGTCCCCCAGCAATCAGTTCCATTGAATGAAACATGTCACTTGACTAGTAACCAAGAACAATGGCAACCACTGCACTGGTACCAGCTTCATGTGACTAGTTGCTATGGGCAACAGGCTTCCCTACTCAAGCACCTTCTCAGTCACTGCGGGGCTGAGGGGGACACTGGGCTCCTGTGACAGGCGCTGCGGCCTAGTCTTCCCCAAGAGCCGGCATGACACAGCTGATTGTATGCGGGGTGTGAGACGTTCTCCCCGTCACGGGTTTTTCCTCTCCCTCTCCTCCCCGCCACTCACACTCCTTCAGCCGGCCGTCTATCTCTTTGTGTTCCAGCAGCTTCTTCCTGTAATCCTGCAGCGCCTTCTCCCGCGGCTCCGCCATGATGAGTAGCCGCTGCTCATAGGGAATGCCGGGAAGTGCCATGGCCGCCGGGGGAGGAGGACTGCGCGGACAACGAGAAGCCCCGCCCCCCGCGCCGCTGGCAAGACTGTCTTTGTTCGGGCTACCAGCGCGGCCAATGAAGTCATGGCGACCTCTCTAACCGGCGGTGGTACTGCAGCAGTGAGGCTATATAGGGGACCTCCCATCGCGACCAATACACAGCGACCCCTTAAGTTTGGCCGTGGTACTGCAGCTCTGAGCTTTAATATGGCACTTACCAGCACCGCCCAGTAAAGACACAGCGACTCGTCTGGTTGGACGTGGAATTGCAGCTCTTATCTTTTATATAGCATTTTCCAGCACAACAGTAAAGAGAGTGACCCCTCTGGTTGGACGTGATACTGCAGCTCTGTGCTTCTGTATTGAACTTCCCAGCGCCACCAATGAAGCAGCGACCTCTCTTGTTTAGCGTTGGTAATGCAGCTCTTAGCCTTTATTTATTACTTCCCAGCGCGGCCAATAAAGAAACAGCGACCCCTCTGGTCGGAGAAGGTATTGCAGCTCTACCCATCTCGGCCAATGGAGACACAGCGACCCCTCTGTCTAGCGGCAGTACTGCAGCTCTGAGCATTTATGTCGAACTTCCCAGCCATCCAAAATCAATCTGTTCCACTTTTATTAAGCCCATCTCCATTTAATACTTTTTTTTCTTTTCAATAGGGCGAGTAAATGTCAAAACCTGAGGCTGTTTTTTGTTGTTGTCATTGGGGTGAGTTTCCCTCACTTCCTGTCCTAGTATGATACCATACCAATATATGAGAGGGTGCTGGTGTCAATAGACAGGAAGTAACAGAAAGCAAAAAAAACCTAATAGACATTCAAATCCCTCATTGCTCTAATAAATAAATGTGCTTTTGTTGCTGTCTCTGTCCCCATCACTTCTTGTGCCACCTGATATCCACCAGTGGCGTCACTAGAGGGGTGCGGCCTGCACCAGGGTGACATCATTGGAGGGGTGACACCAAAATGAGTTACAGTCATTTTGGTGTCATCCCCTCTGAAAAGTCTGGCACTCGGTCATGGACCCTTACAGGAGAGAGGAAGGGACCCAGCGGCATACCTCCTCCCCTCCTCTCTCTGCCGGCGTCCATCACCAAGATGGCCCCCAGCAGGTATCACCAAGATGGCTGTGCATGCACGGTGACGTCATCGCGCACACGCGCAATGACATCACGGACGGGGGTGTCATCCGGCCTTGGGACGCCCCTGATATCCAGCACAGGAAGTAAAGGTAGATCTCCCCAATGGGGATGCAGATATGTATTAAAAGAGGAGAGGAGCCGGTACAAGTGTGCAAGAGTGAAGGGAAGGCCGGAGTTCAGATGTAACGCTTGTACTCACAGCAGGAACATGTGCTATAAAATATCTTTAATTCTGCATTTATGAAACACGTATATTTGTAAATTAATATCACTAATGACTAGAATGATACAAAGTTACCAAGTATTTGAGGTTGAATAAAGACACAGGTCCATCAAGTTCAACGTGTGTGTGTGTGTAGTGCGTGCGTGTATGTGAGTCCCTGTGTGGTCTTAGTTTTTAGGAGCACCTGAACCCCAGAATAAAATGTTAACAATTATTTATTTGCTCGAGGCCTGAGCCTGCAGATGACGCCATCTTTGGGACGAAGCGTGCCGATGTCTATTATGTCAAAGCTTTGACTCTCCGCCAACTTGAATTCAAACCTCTGGAGTAGTTTTGCCATGACCACCTTGGCTTCCATCTGTGAAATAACAAAGATGAGGTTTGGAATTTAGAAATTAGAAAATGGTAAAAATTGGAATAGAATGGCAGATAGACTCTTTATTCTCATGCAAAGTGGATTCACCATGCTGAGCCTGAAAGTTCAGCTCCAGGCTAAATTTTGATTTCATTATATAGTCCCTTGCTTGGACAACAGCATAAAACGAGAGGAGCTCTGGCTGCAATAGTTACCTTCAATCTGGAGCTGCCTCCTGCAGTACCTCTTCTTGGCCACAAGATGCCCTCAGTCCTCTGGATTTAATAATGTACTGTATGTGCCACCCTCTGGGGAGGGGAACATCACCACAGCCCCCTTCATTCACAATGTTCTAGTGCAGCTAACAACACTGACATCATCACGTGTAACAGACTTACCCGTCCACGGTCCAGCGCTGTGTGGAGGGGACGCGCACGGCCAGCTCGGCTTCAGGCTCCTCCCATTCAGGGCCGTCCAGGACGGCAGCCAGCTCCTCCCATTCAGGGCCGTCCAGGACGGCAGCCAGCTCCTCCCCTTCACGCTCGGCGAGGAGGGATTTAAGGGAGCAGATTTGGCTGTTCAGCGTCTGACCGTTGTGAACGGTGCACGCCGAACATCCCATAGGAGTTACTGCTTCTAGCATCCTGCACCACGAGACCCAACAGTGGACCCCACAACCGCAAGTAGCCAAGCAAACCACATTGTAGTGAGGGGTCTTGCTGCCACAGACGTATTGCTCATACTGGGAGATCTGTGAAGGTTTAATTGTACTGCTGTGCTGGAGGACTTGCTGTACAGGTGGGGAGTGTTGATTCAGCCAAGGTCTGCCTTGACTCTCCTGCTGCTGACTGTTAACCCGCTCTATGCTGGTGACTCCCGAGGGAGCTGTGTCTGTGCCTGTTAGGTTATAACCTGAACCTGGGACTTGATCTGGGAAAAATCTCTATACTCATACGTATTGTCTGAACCTGTGGAAGTGACTTTGTGTTGATCTATGTAGTGATACCTTGCTGTGCTGTGACTGCTAACAGGATGCAGGGGATCTGCAGAACTTAGTTCATCTTAGCTTGTGGAGGATTAACCAGAGATGCATGTTGTACACACCTGCCCTAAACCTACTATACATACCAACACAATAGGTTGCCCAAGTGACGGGGGATGATGTGACTGACTCCAAACCCTCCATTAACCACTGCATGGAGTGTGAAGGAAGGAGTCGTAACTGAGCCCCGCCAATACATTAACTACCTCCGCAGTTGAGTGTCCAGACATAAACACACGGGTCGTTTCATCACGTCAGTGCCAAACGTATCAGGGAGGACTGTTCCCGCTCGGAGAAGGGGCGAAAAGAACCCCCCCAGGATCACATGACTGGACTGAAGACTTTGTGAACAGCGTCTTCATCTTGGCAGCGAATGCGCAGCTCAGTGTATGGTCTCAGCTGTGCATTTGCAGCTCAGTGTGCGGTCTTGGCAGTGCATGGGCAGCTTAGTGTACAGTCTTGACAGCGAATACCCAGCTCAGAGTATGGTCTTGGCAGCACATGTGCAGCAGAGTGTACAGTCTTGGCAGCGCATGCGCAGGTCAGTGTATGGTCTTGGCAGCACATGCGCAGGTCAGTGTATGGTCTTGGCAGCACATGCGCAGCTCAGTGTATGGTCTTGGCAGCACATGCGCAGCTCAGTGTATGGTCTTGGCAGCACATGCGCAGCTCAGTGTATGGTCTTGGCAATGGCAACACATGCCCAGCTCAGTGTATGGTCCTGGCTGTGCATGTGTACGGTCCCGGTAACTCCCATGTGCATGCACTACGTCAAGATGCTGAACCCTGAAGAAGACAGGGAGAAGATGGAGGCATTAAGGACAGAGGGGTACTGACATCACAGCACCATACCATACCACCATAATGTGTTAATAGGCTGTGCATACCAGAACATGTTGGCCAAAAGCTCCTGGGGGCACCAACATTTTTCTTTTGGACAGGTGGTTTAGTTCCCCTTTAAATATTGCCTGTTCTTACCTGAGACAAAGCTTGCCCAATGCATGAACGCGGCCCCAGAGAAAATGGGAGGTATGTGAAGTATGGCCTAGATAGAAGGAAGAACATTAACACCTGATATCTCCAACTCATATGAAACCACACAGAGAAAATACTTGTTGTCGTTTGACGCATACGCACGGATCGACCGCTGGAACTCTTACCTCTTGGCATCAGGACCAAATCTCTCTGGGTCGAATTTCAGTGGATCATTAAAAAATTGCTCCATCCTCCCAAAGGAATAAAAGTTGAACTACAAAGAATACAAGAAAGAATGGTGACGTTGGCTTTCAAGAAGCCTGGACCATAATGGAATTGCATGGAAGCAAGTGACAGCCGAGGCAAAGAAAGAGCATAAAATGTATTCATTTGGCAAAAGTTTCAAATAAACTGAAAATGTAAAGTCCTCTGGAGATGTAAAATGTAACATGTAAAGCTTGCATTGCAACAACCCATAATCCTTCATCTCAATATTGATCCACTGCTCTAATCCAGCCGCAGCTCTCCAGTCCGGGCTAAGTGTGGGTGCTGACCAGGAGCGATTCACGCTCCAAAGGAAATTCTCAGATTAAAGGAGAACTATGGGGTCAGTGTTTTTCCCCATAGTTCTCCTTAGGGTAACGGGAGGACACAAACTAGCGTCCTCCCGTTACCCTAAGCTCAGTATACCGCGAGCTTCAGCTCGCGGTATACTGAGACGCCGGAGCGGATCACGACTTAGATGACGGGATCCGCCCAGCTGCGTGAGTGACAGCTGGCTCTGCCTATCTAGAGGCAGAGCCAGCTGTACCCGCCCCCTCCCCCGTCCGTTCCGCCAGTCAGCGCTGGCAGATCGGAGCGGGGAGAGGGGAATCCAGCCCCTCCTCCTGCCATGGCAGAGAGCCGTGACAGGATCGAGAGGCGAGCGAACCCGGTATGTGTTTGCTCACCTCCCGATCTACTGAGCCGACCTGTGACAGTCTCATTGTCACAGGTCGGCTAGAACTATGAGGTGAGTGAAAAGCACTCACCTCATAGTTCTCCTTTAATGAATTTACAAATAAACCCATGAGGGTGAAACACGTCAGAGGTGAGTGTTTCACAGGTGGGCACAGGAGCATGTTGGCTGCTTATTATTTTTTATTTATTACTGGCATTTATATAGCGCTAACAATTTACAAAGCGCTTTATATTGTCGCACATTCACATCAGTCCCTGCCGTCAAGGAGCTTACAATCTAAAGCCCCTATCAAAGTGCATACATACTGGGCCAATTTAGACAGGAGCCAATTAACCTTACAGCAGGTTTTGGGAGTTTTTAATTGCGTTTTAGCGCTGAAACGCAAATAAAAACGCTGTATGGAAACCACACTGATCAGCGCGGCAAAAAGGGAGAAGTTCGGGCGGAGGGGGGTTCGGACCATTCAGACCCGTGCGGGCGCATGGAGGGTCCCCATAGCAATGTATGGGACCTTTCATGTTGGTGAATAAGAAGTTATTAAAAAAATAGGGTACCTTGTTATGCTCCACAGCTGACAGTTTATAGGGTGGCACTGGCCTATAACATGCATCTAATGAGGATATTGGAGAGAGCCCATCCCAGTCTCTGTGCAGCCCCCTCATCCAATCAGGTGCTTCTTTTCTTTCCAAACCTGTACTAAGATAATTAAATCTGTAATCCGATTGGTTGCTCTATTCAAAATATTCTTCTCAAGCATTTCTACATGCAGTGCCCTGGTCAATGCCTTCAACGGAACATAGCGACTCACCACTAAAGTGACATTAGGAGGAACGCGATGTCCTTCAATGACCATCTCCTGTTCCAGTAAGCGGGAGGTGCCCGGTGCTGAGGGGTATAAACGCAAAGTCTCTTTCAGGACCTGAGAAATGGAGCATAAAAACCATGAAGGGGTTATCACTGCAAGACACACTGGTGAGAGGAAGGAACCACAGCATGCATGTACTCTGATACCTACAGAGGCCAGAGATCTGAACCATATCCCCGTTTAAAGGCACAGGCTGCTGGAAAGATAAATATACAACTGCTTCTATTACAAGCTGGCTTTAACTAAACTCCTATTTCAAAAAACTCCGACAGGTAGGCAGAGAACTAAGATTACAATTTAGAAGAAGTTCATACATACCTGGGACAGGTAATCCAGTTTGCTCAGGTCTTCATATCCAATGTCTATTTTGGATCCGATCACGTCGTCCACCTCGGCCTGAACTCTGCAAGGTAAAAAATTGTTACATGTTTTATAATTATTCCATTTTAAAAAAAGGAAACTCAATGAAAAAATAAACACCTTTAAATCTGTGAATTTGAACTGTCAGTGCAGTTTGGAAATGCTTGTCTTGGATTAATTAATTTTGTTTCCTTTAGAGGAGTGGTGCTTTTTCTGTAGCTTTCATATGTATATAAATCTCTAGTGTATTGGGCATTTCTCCACTGACCACCAGTGTAATGGCAAGTACAATAATGTTCTCCACTGACCCCCACTGTACTCGTACAAATCTCCACTGACAACCAATGTACTGTTGCTTCTCCACTGACCACTACTGTTCTAGTACAATTCTCCACTGACCACCAATGTACTGGTGCAATTGCCAACTGACCACTATTGTACTGGGGCATTTCTCCACTTACCACCACTGTGCTGGTAAAAATCTCCACTGGATTGGAACAAATCCCCAATGACCTCCACTGTACTGGGACAATTCTGGACTTACCACCACTGTGCTGGTACAAATCTCCACTGACCGCCACTGGATTGGAACAAATCCCCAATGACCTCCACTGTACTGGGACAATTCTGGACTTACCACCACTGTGCTGGTACAAATCTCCACTGACCGCCACTGGATTGGAACAAATCCCCAATGACCTCCACTGTACTGGGACAATTCTGGACTTACCACCACTGTGCTGGTACAAATCTCCACTGACCGCCACTGTATTGGAACAAATCCCCAATGACCTCCACTGTACTGGTGCAATTCTCCACTGACTACAGGGGATGTGATAGTACACTTCTTCAATGACTGCCCACCCATGCCACCAATCTTTTTAAATTTGCAGGTCTTAAAAAAATGATCCTCCTCTACATGTAGATTAACGTGAAGAATGCAGACGTGGAGAAAGATTCCTTCCTGAGTGATGGACAAATCCAAAAACAAGAACATTTTAAGTGACATGTTGAAAGGTCTGGTATATATACTATCACCGCATTGTTTGCAGCATCCAAAGGATCCTGGGTGACTTACCTCTCTAATATCTCTGGATGTCGTGCCAGTTCCATCACTGCGAATGATAACTGGTTGGCTGTTGTCTCCTGTCCTAGAGATTAGTAAGCAATCAGTTACCATAAAAGAAGACAACTGGTTCTTATACAAGACCTTTACTATTTCAGTATGGTGGCTTAGGAGTTGATTTATAAAGATATTGCAGGACCATTTGCCCTGCAAATATTTGTGAACAATTTTTCTGAGCCTATACATGCACAAGCGAATGTTGTTTAGTTTTTCCTTTACAATTTTAAATAGGGATACCAAGTACAGTACTCAGTACAAGTACAGATACTTTTTGAGCTCCAAGACTAGAGAAACATTAAATAGTTAGGAGGCAGCTGTCATTTGTATGGAGCATACAGAGCTCCTGGGATTTGTACATCTCTGTTCTAATGTATGATTTTGTTTTTATAAACATATATAAAGGGATGCACCTATACCATTTTTGCGAGTACAAGTACTGATACTTGCCCAAGTACTCACAGATACAAGTACTGATACATTTTTGTTTAGTGTCATGTGACAGTTTTTCTAAAACAATATTGACTAATGATTTTAGGACAGTGGTGGAGAGCCAGAGCTAGGTCCTAGCTGCCACCGCTGCAACCCCCGGTAGTTATCATGAAATTGCCAAGTATCGGCACTGGTATCTGAACTGGTATCGGTGCATCCCTAATTTGAAATAAACTTTGACATTCTGTTTGTACTATTGCATGGCCACTAGATATACACACCAAATGAACATTTACAGATATTCACAGGGCCATTCGCGCTGTGGATTCCTTATCAATCAAACCCTTTGAGCTCTGTGGTGTTATGGTGCTGGGATCTCGGAATCAATTGCCACCATAACCACCGTATGCACCATATTGTATTCTTGCCATGTTCACGTTTCCTGCAGCGGTTCATAAGCATAAGCATAGTGGTTGGTTAGTAAGATAAACCTTTTACTTACCAGCGATGAAGAAGGTGACAAAATTATCCAATAAAATTTCCATATCACATGTTTTCTCAAAAGCTGTGAGGACAAAAACATGTGGGGTTATTGGAGGGATCATGGATCTCTCACACTGTGCTACATTGTTATTCTAATATACTGTATATGCAGGGCCGTATATTTCAGTGTACATTAGACATGTGCACTGCCAAAAAATTCGTTTCGTTTTAAATTGGGATTTGTGTTATTTCGTTTTTCGGGATTCGGGTGTGAAAGTCGATTCGGATTCGGAATTCGGATTTGGACGAAATTCGGTAGCGTTTGCACGAACGTTCGTTTTCTGTTCTTATTCGTTTCTTATTCGTTTCGTTCGTTTGCAGCAAAAGTGACATTTGAGGGGGAAAAAATATTTTTCTCCTTCTCTAATGTCACTTTGCTCCAACGAACGAAACGAATAAGAAACGAATACGAACAGAAAACGAAACGAACGTTCGTGCGAACGCTACCGAATTTCGGAAATGGAAATTCGGATTCGTTTGCATTCGTTATGTCTGTAATTCGGAATTCGGATACATCCGAATGTCCGAATTTACGAAAATTCGTCCGAATTTCGATTCGGAACGACACAAATCGCACATGTCTAGTGTACATTGATCAGAGCCAGAGCAGAGTTAAGGTGCCCATACACCTTACGATTATCGGACGATTTTCGTATGCGATCGACTTTTCGTCCGATAATCGTATGTGTGCATTGCAGTGTCCGACCGACATTACTGTACAATCGTACGACTTTTGACGGTCAAGCATGTTTGAAAACTTTGCTCGATCGTACGATTGTCGTAAGGTTGCTGGCGTTTCCGTCCGTCAAAAGTCGTACGAACTACACTGCGCATGCGCGAACGAAAATACGACAAATCAATTACCGCATTTCGTCCAGGTGCTTTTCGTTAATTACGGCTAAATTAATCTTGCGATCATCGGGGCAGGATGGGGCTGTCGTACGACTATTCGATCATCGGACGAAAAGTTTCGTCCGATAATCGTAAGGTGTATGGGCACCTTTTACACTTTAAACTCTTTCCGCACGGGTGAGATTCTCCCTGTCTATTTGAAGGTGAGCAGGAATAAAGGGGAAAACTTGCAATGGGGTCACTTGTTCCAGTGACACTTGTTTAGGAAGGGAAATATCTCACTTTGGAGAGATTTCCTCTCACTTCCCATTTTCTGTTTACTTCCCAAGTACAGGAAGCAAACGGAAACCTCCTTAATGGAACATAGATGGCACATACTGTATGTAAATAAGCTGATGAGTTTAACCCTTTCTTACTCTATCTAAAATGGGGAAAACAAGTTTTGCCTTTCTATATACTTTAACACTGTTGATGTGCATTGGGATACAAGCGACTATAAATGGGAACACTACACAAGGTTAATCCACAATGTGTTACTGTGCGTTGTTGTAAATTTACAGCGCTCTGAATCACAAATCCATTACCTTGTTTGTTGGCAAAGTGAAGTATGCGTTGCAAACTACTGACTTACATGCGCCTTTGAGGATCTGTGATAAAATGTCCATCGGTATCTCCTCTCCATCCTGCATGGCCTTCTGTCTCTTCTCAATGCACTCCTTGCCGGTCTGGCGGAGGAGCCGAACGCTGTCCCGGACGGACCTGATAAAGCCTCGTTTTCCTGGGCTGTACTGTTTAGAGAATAATTAAACAATCACATAATCTTACTCTATTGGTGAGATCCCGGCGCTAAATCTTCAGGTCTGTACACTTGCTGTGCACATTGTGAGGGATACCCACAATCACTGTGCTGTGTTCCTGGGTCTGTACACCTGCTGTGCTCATTAGCAAAGACTCCCACCATGCCTGTTGGGTGTGTATTGTATTTATTGATGTATTTACATTTCAAGTTATCCTTTAGGTGATCAGGTTCCGTATCTAACTTTACCTTCCATTTACTTCCCGCTATTACCTCAGGGCAGCATTTAGGTCTGCCAACTGACCACCGTGGCACCAATGTATACATTGTGGAGCAGTGGCAAATGTTCTCCTATACCTGCTGGAATTAGGAGGTACATCTTGGGTTTACCAGCAGACAAGAGTGGAAGGTAAGTACACACTGCTTATGCTTCATATAGTAAAAGTGAACCTCTTACGTTCCCCAGCTTGGGCCAAATTACAGATTTTATTTTCAATGGCGCAATCCTAACCGCACACGAAACACACCAACCTCTGCGAGAGGGTTTCGGGTTTCGGCCAAACCTCTCATGACCGTGGAAATGGCTTGAGGGAACGGGGTCTGATCATCATGCAGAGAGTTCAGATCCATTCCAAAAGCGACCTGCAAATAACACGAAATGTCAGCGTTAGGAAAAATCCTAAATATGGACCAAAATGGATTTTTATCATAATGATGTATTTTATGTATTTAGGAATTTCTCCGTAACACAGATTTCTAATCTAAAACAACCATAGGCATGAATAACCTGCTGGACAAGGAATATACTGAGGGGAATTTATCAAAACTGGAGCAGACAAAATCTGGAGCAGTTGTGCATGGCAACCAATCAGCTTCTCTCTCTCATTTTCAGATCTTAAACTAGAACTATGGGGTTAAGGCTTTTCCCCATAATTCTCCTTAGGGTAACGGGAGGACACAAACTAGCGTCCTCCCGTCACCCTAAGCTCAGTATACCGTGAGCTACTGCTCGCGGTATACTGAGACGCCGCAGCGGAAGCGGATCCCGACAATTGTGTCTGGATCCGCCCAGCTGCGTCAGTGACAGCTGGCTCTGCCTATCTAGAAGCAGAGCCAGCTGTACCCGCCCCTCCCCCGTCCGATCCGCCAGTCAACGCTGGCGGATCGGAGGAGGGAGGGGGGAATCCAGCCCCTCCCCTGTCACGGCAGAGAGCCGTGACAGGATCGAGAGGTGAGCCGACATGTGACAGTCTCATTGTCACAGGTCGGCTAGAACTATGAGGTGAGTGAAAAGCACTCCCCTCATAGTTCTCCTTTAACTAAACAAACTGAAGAGAGAAGCTGATTGGTTGCCAGGCACAGCTGCTCCAAATTTTGTCTGCTCCAGTTTTGATAAATTCCCCCCACTGTATACAGCTGACTTTGCTGACTTCTTTGTTAAGACGCAGGTTCCAGATCTGTTATCCGTCATAAAATTAGCATTTTTTTTGCATTGGAGTCAGTAACGTATTGTAACTGCGGATAGTAGATTGCGGGTGCAATGCTCTGACTGCTGCAGACTCTTCCTCCCGTCCCTGTCCGTTCAGAGGTACAGACATTCAGCAACATGCATGGGAGGAAGTGTCAATGGAATACAAGTGTGGTGACGTCACTGCTATTGCATGTCATTGAGGATGAGATGATCCCGGTTACCTTCGCAATGACATCCAGAGTCACTTTATTCATCATTTCATGCATTGCAAATTCTGCTTTCCCATCTGCTTTCCCTGCCAATTGCTCCATCAGCTCTTCTGCTTTTTCATTGAATGTCCCCATCATTCCCGTCAGATACCTGCAAAGAAGAGGACAGCATTGCTACACAGTTACTTATAGACTTTTGATATTTGTATAACTCCTCCCACCAGCCATAATCTGCATAAAGAAGCACAGAGACCCAGTAATAAAATACTGTCGGTAAAGAAAATGGAGCATTTTTATTTTAAAATGTTTTTAGCATGTTGATGAGGGGGGAAAGGAGGAACCAAGGAAGGCAAAATATAAGCAGAACAAACTTCAGGTTCAAATAAAGCTTTGTAAATGACATGTACAATAGTGAACACTGACACCACCACTGACTCCGATCTTCGCCTTTTTGCTGAGCTAGAGACAGTGCTAGAATATTCCGCAGCTGACACTTCTGGGTGTGTTGGATCCAGTGGCGGACCTAAGGAACAAAGGGCCCTGGTGCAAGATTTGTTTTTGGGCCCCCCCCCAAAAAAAAACACAAACACGGCGCTCTCCTCCCGCAGATAGCGTCCGAAATATCGGTGCATCCCTAATATTTACAGCAATGCAGAATGGCACAGGCTATAGAGAACGACACATCCCAGCAATACTTTATACAGAAATGCTATTGTTATATAAAGTACTGTTGAGATTTGTAGTCCTCTATAGAGGGTGCCATTCTGCATTGCTGCAACAGTACTTTATACAACATTAGGCTACAAATAATTATTATTTTAATGATAACCTACCCCTGTAGGTTTAGGTGCTATCCGGCGGCCGGCAAGTCCCACCATCTATGCACAGGGACTGTGCTGGGCCCCCCCAGGCTGAGGCCCCGATGCCGGAGCACCGGCTTCACCGGCGGTAGTTCCGCCAATGGTTGGATCCCTCTGCCTTTACAATACCTGCTATAGGTACTCTCATTGGCTCCTATGTCACTCATATATCCCTGCAGCTGTGACTTAGGTAGCGGCTGGTGGGGGTAAAGCCACAGTGTGCAGTGATGAGACTCTGACATCCAGCACACCCCACAGTATTGGATGGAGGTCAGGTGGGAGACATGGACCCCTAATGAGATGAGTATAATACTTCTTCTATTGCAGGGACCAGCCATTTGAATTTATTTTAGGGAACTGAAAGGGTTTCTTTAAAGCTGATCCCCGACCACAAGAACTCTCATTAATATATATTTCTCAGTAGCCACAAAGAATATAAATTTCCCTTTGTGGGCACCAAATGCATCTACAAACCGAAATATTATCTCATAAAGGTATCCATGATATCATTATGGGACTGCATATAGCCTTATCAGAAAACTACAGGAGGGGCCGGAGACAAGACCAGTCACCCAGCACAAGGAGAGAGAGAAGCAGTGAGTGATCTTTATTACAGGAGGGGGCATAGACAAGACCAGTCACCCTGCACAAGGACAGAGAGCAGCAGTGATCGGTCTTTATTACAGGAGGGGGAGGAGACGAGACCAGTCACCCTGCACAAGGAGAGGGCAGCAGTGAGCGGTCTTTATGAAAGGAGGGGGCAGAGACAAGACCAGTCACCCTACACAAGGACAGAGAGCAGCAGTGACTAGGGTTGCCACCTGTCCAGGATTCACCCGGACAGTTCGGGTTTTGAATGCTGTGTCCGGGTTTCATGGCAACTGAAACCCGGACACAAGATGTCAGGCAGACAGGGGCAACCAAAAATTAAGATAGGGGCTATTGGCCCCCCACTGAAAATAGTCTCAACTGTGATATTTATATATGAATGGGTGGTACCTTTTACATATGACTAAGCCGCTACACATTCCCCCCATAAAAATATGTCCGCATGTGGTTATAGTGTTCGGGTTTCACTTGAAGAAAAGGTGGCAACCCTAGCAGTGACTGATCTTTATTAGAGGAGGGGGCAGAGACAAGACCAGTCACCATGCACAAAGAGAGAGCAGTGACCAGTCTTTATTAGAGGAGGGGGCAGAGACAAGACCAGTCACCCTACACCAGGAGAGAGGGCAGCAGTGACCGGTCTTTATTAACGGAAGCTGCAAAGTGCAGGAGTTGTCTCACGCTGGATTTCTCCACAAGGCAATACACATAGGAAACTGAAATTAAATTAGGAATGCACATGGTTCAATAATCAATAAGCCCGGATTTCAGCTTTTACTTACGTCCTGCTAAAGGCGGGATCCATCACCCTTCTCTGTTTGTGCCAATGTTCATAATCACGATCTGTCACCAGGCCGGCCCCCAAAAACCTGCAAGACGTATCAACAAACATTGGAGGCTGAATCACTGAGGAACCGGCTTCTGTAGTGTTTCTCAAAGTGTGAGACGCCATCATGTCAACCGAGGCAAAGTCACAGACTGCGGCTCAATCAGGCCTGCCTAATGATAAATGGTGGAACTTCTCAAATCATACTGCTGACCTGTCAGGAATGTATTCATGCAAATTTGTAAAATTACTGATGGGTCCACTTTAAAGAACTTCCCACTCAAATTGTAGTTCCCCAAAAAAAACAGAATATTGTTCCCCCCCACCCCCCCCCCCCCCCACACACACACACACTCCCTATAGCAATATCACATGAGATTTTGGGGAGGAAGTGGGGGCAAGTACCCTTTTCTGCAGGTACTCCCTCCCACTTGCTCCTCTAGGCAAGGATAATGTTGCCATTGGCTCCAGTGGTGTCCCTAGACTTCGCCACCTAAGGCTGGTGAGCGGTGGCGATGGTGGAGCATGTAGAAGCAGGGTAGGATCAGAATGAAAGCCAATCCACTGGCTCACCTACTCCACCTAAATGCCCATCCTCAAACCTCTGATGACCAAGTCTTGGCTTTTGGTCAGGAGAACAGTGCTGGCCTCCCCTATCTTAGACTAGGTGGTAACAGATATAATGTATACCAAAGACGTATTTCAACAAACAGAAGAAACATTTCCATTAGGAGAGGATTAGAGGATCTTTGTACATTGGAGAACCAGTACTGACCTTTCACCAAAAAGATAGAATGCTTTCTTGTAGACCAAGTCCTTTGTGGATTTGGGAGACATCAGGATTTCCTGAAATGTATAAAGAGAAATGTTTTTACTGAACTGAAAATCCCTGAATTGTACAAATGTCACAAATCGGCTGGCATTATTTTCTTTTTTCCTAGGTTCCTAGATGCCCTTCTACTGTATATGTTCCACCATCAGTATATTATAAGATTCAGGTCATTTGGAAAGCCCCACCAAAGTCTTTCACTGTCAGGAAACCAGGGGTGTCACCTCTCCTCGGGGTCGACGGGTACGGTGCAGGGCACGGGCGCTCCTTCAGCCTGGCAGAACTCCTGGCGCCAGGACGCACTTTCCATCTCTCTCACCCTGCCATTGGCTCCTGGGCAGGGAAGCCTCCTGGTTGCCTCAGTAACCAGGGGGTGATCTTACTAGGGTCGCCACCTTTTCTTCAAGCAATACCCGAACACACTCGAGCGACGCGCGGAAATTTTTTGGGGAGAACGAGTCCTTGCTTATGTAAATAGCGCCCCCATTCATATGTAAATATCACAGTTGAGACTATTTTCGGTGGGGGGGCCAGTAATCCCTATGTTCATTTTGGTTGCCCCTGTCTGCCTGACATCATGTGTCCGGGTTTCTGCTGCCATGAAACCCGGACACAGCATTCAAAACCCGGACTGTCCGGGTGAATCCTGGACAGGTGGCAACCCTAACTCCCACTGGCTACAAAATCCTGGTCAGAGCCCTGGCTTGTTGCTGAGTTATTCCACCTCTATGGTGTGATCGCCTAGCCCCTTGTTTGTTCCTGCTGCTGTTTCCTGAACCCTCACTCGAACTTCCTAGTTACCGAACCCTTGGCCTGTCTACCGCTCCTGAACCTTTGCTGCCTGCCTTGACCCGGACTGGGCCTGACTACCCCTTTGGATTTGCCCTCTTGTACCCTGCACTTGGATCTTTCGATCCGCTTCCTGCCAGCGGGTTCCTACCCCCGCTGCGAGTCCACGGCACTGCCTGACACGCACAGAGATGGACTGCCACGTATGAATTTCCAGCTGACAATTGTTGTTCTTCTCTTCAGTATTGGCTCACTGAATGCCCCAACTGGCTCAGCTGATATCAATGTGCATATTTTTATCCAAGTTTCCAAAAAAGAAATTTGGCATTTGCAGAATCTCATCATCATCTCACGTCTATGGCAACTCCAGAGGAACTCTTTCAACTTTTATTTTTATATCTGTCTTATCCCCATTTGGAAAGCAGAAATCACCAGCACTCAGCAAATATGATTGATGTCCATTCAATCGGACCAATCGTCAATTGTCATGTACAAAATAGCGACGTTTCGGGACCGCACAGGATCCTTTCATCAGGGCGACAATGTAAGGGATCCTGTGTGGTCCCGAAACGTCGCTATAAACGTGCTGGTGATTTCTGCTTTCCACTGATTGTTGCACGGTGCCATCCGTGATTGTCACAGCGAGCACCACTACAAGTACTTGGGCCGGGAGCGCTGTGAGGAGTGCAGAGGGACTTACTATTTTCTACGTTATCCCCATTTGGGACATTTCTCTCCTCCCTCCCTCTGCCTGGCTGCCACTGCTGACCACTTTGTAAGAATGTCATGGTTGTCTCCAGCTTCAATACTTTCTGGTGCAAACAAGTTAGAAAGCCAGAGTGGAACCAGAACTTCTTTATATGCGCACTTGTTCCAGGTCAGTGATGCAAAGTATTGATGTCATCGGATCAGTATGCCAACCAGGCAGCCTCTAGACTCTAGGAAGGTAACGTTTTCACCCCAGCTGCGGTGAAACTACAGATCCCAATATGACGTAGGATTTGAAGTTTCACCATAGACAAGACATCCCTTCGGAAGCCATGTCTGTGGCTGTCAGAGTCTTGCAATGCCTTATAGGATTTGTAGTTCCACTACAGCTTGAGTGGCAAGGTTGCCTACCCCTGCTTTATAGCCTCTCATTACTGGTGTATCTTAAAGGCTAAGTTTAGTCTTCTCAGCATGTTTTATGTTACATTCATAATCAGGGTGTAGAAACATGGTCACATCCCGAAAAACCCCCCAAGCTCAACCCCCTCCCCCCATTACCTGAATTGCGGGTTCACCTCCCTGCAATCTTTTGAATTCAACATGCCTGTGCATGACTTTGCCCTGACAGCTTTATCATCCATTCACAGACCCTTTGACAGGAATAGAGGGAATACAACTCCCATCTACCTTTGCGGCAGAGGGACATGTTCTCAATGGAGTACAAGTAAGATGAAGTCACCCCACTTTAGTCCACTGACACTTCCTTCGCCCTCGGGTACTGAAAGTCTGTACCTCAGTTTTGGCAAGTGCTGGGCGGAATAGTCTGCAGGAACCACAGCAAAGGTTGCAATCCTTTATCTCTAATGAAGAAATATAATAAATGAACATTTTTGTAATTTTATGGATGGGTGTGCATCCATTTATTGCTTCTTTGTTTTAAAAGCTGGACTTTGCCTTTAGACCTTTCTCTACAGATAATTTACCTATTAGTTGCCACCACACACATTGCATTGTATGTTCCAGCTCTCCGGTATAGTATAAGGAAAATTACCTTAACAGCGTTGGGACTGGTCACTAATATCATAACCCTATGTAAAGCATAGACACGAAAAACTGGGCCGTTGGTCTGTGACCTAAAAAAACAAAAAAATACAAAGTCAAAAAGGCTGCCTGTGAATATCATGTCATTATGTAATCTGTACTTCATGAAGGATGGAACGCATTTCATATAATGATAAGTGTTTATTGGTGTCCATTGAAAAGGAAGTCAGCTGAGTATTAATTGCTCCTAAACTGGTCCTATAACATAACCCCCAATGTGATGTCAGAAACAGTCATATGCAAGTGGGACATTTATATAAAGTTAGGATCTGTTTGTATGAACTCTGTCTCTTCAGGATGTCATAGCTCAGCAGGTCAGAAGCAGGGAAAAAAATGAATGTTAGGGGTGGACACATGGGGGGTCTATTCAGGGCCAGATTTACTCTCTCTGCTGTTACACCGATCGATTTTCATCATTCGGCTGTAACAGGAAGCGTAACAAACTTACCACCGAAGAAAAAGCTCATGCACTAGGCTGTCTTCCTTCATAGCTTTCATCAGTGTGGGTATATTACCCAGAAGAAAGCTGAAAATATAAAAGTACGATATTTATCCGACATAACATATTTTATGTAATAAAAATGTAAATAAATGCATTTATAGATCAATGTAGTAAAATTAAAGTGCAACTGAACCCGAAACATTTTTTTGGGGGGATGGGGGGGGATGGATAGAGTGGAGGGGCATTATTATTATTACATAGTATTTATATAGCGCCAACAGTTTGCGCAGCGCTTTACAATATAAGGAAGACATAACAGTTACAATACAATTCAAGACAAGATGGTAAGGAGGGCCCTGCCCCTGAGGAGCTCCCAAATGCCATCTGGAAATTCGGATCCTGAATGCCATTCGGGTCTGGGAGCCTCAGCTTTAGTATTATATGTATTTACTGTGTATGGCTCTCATGTTGCCGTAACGAAAATTCGTGTTTAGACCCATTCGGATGTCATTGACCTTATATGGCCACATTACTATATTTGGTCAATGACACCGACCTACAGTAATATTCCCATGTGGCCATCTCATGTCAATGATATCAGCACAAGCATCTGTATATGTATTTGTATATGTGCACCTGTGGGTTGGGGAATGCCCCAGCCCACAGCTGATTGGGTGGGTAGCTCGTGGCACTTCCGTGTTTTGAAGGAGGCCAGATTCAGACTGGGTTTGGCTGAGCTTATCCCTAATCTGAAATATTATGTCCCAGGCATTTTTTTACAAATCAATAAGATCGTGCAATATACACCGCATATAACAAATATAATTTGTGTTAGGAGTCCATTTCCCATGACACATGATTATGAATGACAAGGACCTGAGGTGTGCCATGGTATGGGTGGACAGTAATACCAATAAGGGGGCATACTCCGAGAGAGTGAAAGAGTGAAGTGAAGTCCCAACTGTGGAACCCAAGGGACGGGTGGGAGGGATGCTCGGAAGACCTCCCTTCCCAAGCACTCCCAAGAGGTAAGGAGGCGCAGACTCCTCCCGCAAATTCATGCTATATTAGCCTTCCAACATATAAATGGTTCATAGGAGCTGTCCTACAGGTCATAAATATACATTCTCAATGGCTCATTAACCTCTTCATGACCCCAATACAACCTTGTCAGCACCGATGTAAAATGCTCATTGATGTGCATGGAGAACTTGGATTGTACAATTGTGCGTCTTCCTTGTTCTCAGAGCCGCTGTCAAGCAGACAAATTGGTTACAGAATTATTATCCAGTTAACTGATGCATATTGAGGGCCGGTGCACATCTAGGCGATTTATGGTGCGGTTTGAGTCGTGCGAAATCGCGCAAAACACAGATTTGCATGGAAGTCAATGGAGGCTGCTCACACCTTTGCGGGAGCTATTTTTGGCCAGTTGTCGCACGGTTTGGGTCCCATACACATCTCTGCATTGAAAAACGTGCGACAATCGCGCAGTTTACAATGAAAAGTTGCACAATCGAAAACGTGAGAAAACAGCTCGCCATCTGAATCGCCTAGGTGTGAGCCTAGCCTGAAGCTCCTAAACTTGGTCTGGGCAATTAGGCTTCTAAAAAATCGGGTCATAAAAGGGTTAATCCGGGTTTATAGCGTCTTATGACTGGTGTTTCCCAACAACATCCGCTTATAGCCTTTTATCAGGTTGTGATTATGTAATAGTGGCAAATAGCTGATCACATTTAATAAAGGGGGCCTGTGTTAAATATACCTGACCTCCTTTCTGTAATACATTAAAAAAAAATTTAAAATACAGATTCTGCAGAAAGATCCACGTTGACTTCTCATAGTGTCGGTCACATGTGCTTCAGATCATTACAAATGGTGAATGGCGCAGGGACCCTGAAGAATTATGATATATTTATTTTGTATTGTTATCATCCAATGATATGATGATGGTGGTGTAACTAGAGAGAATCTGAATATTGAGCTGGACGCTTCCACGCACTGAAGGATTTCTACAATTATTTTGGGTTGTGATGAGGATGAACGGGTCTAAAATTAAAGGCCCACACTGTAAAATTCAAGTCCAGATGGTAGAGCCAGGTGTTGTGCAAACCCACACACTGCAATAACACCCAACTGTACATTGATTTTAGCGTCTGCATACTTTGGTTCATTGTCTCATTCCCCTCGATCCCCGATGAAGGGGGAGTCATGCAAATCCTTTAAAGAAACCCTATAGAGAGTAAAATATGGTGGCTGTCTGTACCCCACTGACCCATTGTGATCGGGGCAAGCAGTAAGGGAAGATGGAGGGAAGTAACTTCTGTGCAATACTTGCACATTTCCCCATGTTTTATCCCTTTAAAGACTGGGCCCACAGACATTACAGTCTAAAATTATGAATAAAATGCATGACCCTTCTTTTTTTAACAGCATGCCTCAGCACAGGTTATATGCCTTGTGGTGCCATGCAGTGCATTGTGCTATACTGTACATTGCATTGGGGTGGTATTCACAATGAATGGCAATGTACTACACATAGAACAGGTGCATTGCCATGCCTCGTGGCAGCACGCATTACCACAGTGCACAAGTGCATGCATTGGGGCTGAACTGAAGTATGAAGTGCTTCCACTGGGGCTAATATGAGGTCTAAAGTGTATACACTGGGGCTGATCTGAGGTATGATGTGCATGCATTGGGGCTGGTCTGAGGTTTGAAGCGCATGCATTGGGGCTGGACTGAAGTATGAAGTGCTTGCACTGGGGCTAATATGAGATCTAAAGTGTATACACTGGGGCTGATCTGAGGTTTGAAGTGCATGCATTGCAGGTGATCTGATCAGTTAATCAGTTTTTGCACTCATAGTTGTACTGTTAATGGCATTTAAGACAATGACATAATAATTGAGTTTAATTTGTCATTAGCAGTACAACTATGAATGCGAAAATTAGAAACAACCTAAGACTACAATGAGCTATTGTTGTGCTAATGCTTGGTGAACATGATGTAGAAAAGTTTGCTGACTGCGTTCCTAAACCTTTCCAGAGTCAACACAAATTTATAAAACGTGTTTGCAGGTAATTAACTTTAAAACTTTAAATCTAAACACAAAAACAAAAATGTATTATATTGCAGCTCACTAGTCCTGGGATGTGGCGGCTGCATTAGTTTTCATATCTCAGGCTAACAATTTTAGCAAGAACAGGAAGTGCCCATTTATATAGTCAGAAATGCCACTTCCTGTGAACTGAAAAGAAACTAAAAGTCCCATCAATCCACCATGCAATGAAATCGACCAAATGCAGACATGTTTGGAGTCCAGCCTGGGTGACAACCATGGATCCCTCTATACATAAAGTGGAGTGAGTGAACGTAGGCACCCTGGAACACTAAAGCCCGTGACACACAGCACGCAAAGTAGGGTTGCCACCTGTCCAGGATTCACCCGGACAGTTCGGGTTTTGAATGCCGTGTTCGGGTTCCATGGCAGCAGAAACACGGACACAAGATGTCAGGCAAACAGGGGCAACCAAAATTAAGATAGGGGCTACTGGCCTCCCACTGTATTTACATATGAATAAGCTACAACTAATTCTCTCCCAAAAATGTCCGCGCATCGCTAGAGTGTTCGGGTTCCGCTTGAAGAAAAGGTGGCAACCCTAACGCAAAGCCGTGCAGAGCAAAGCTGTCAGGCACGAAGCTTTGCGTGCAGTGTGTGAGCTGAGTGCAGGCAGATGATTGACTGCACCTTCAGCCAATCGGCTCGTGCGTAACAACCGGCCAGAGGTCGCATCCTGACGCGCGGGTTTATACGTGCGAGCCGATTGGCTGAAGGTTACATTTTTCCTCTCGGCACGGTCAGCTATGCGAGCTCTCGCAAGCTGACGTGCCGGGGAGAAAATTACATGACACACTGCATGCGAAGGCAGCGCGACACCGCTCCGCGCTGCTTCGCATGCAGTGTGTTACAGCCTTCAGAGGTTGATGTATAAAGCTTTCGTCCAACATATAGCTGGGCGAACGCCCTTTGCATGGCATTCCTGTCACTAGATGGAGCCAAAGGTGCATAGGAATTTCCTGTGTTCTTCAGCTCCACCTAGGGGTGGTAATGCCATGCAAACGGTATTCGCCTAGCTTTACGCTGAGCAGAACGTTTATACATTAGTCCCAAAAGTGTGTTATTCACAGGATTACCGGGTGAAAAGGACCTAAGATATCTCTCAGGATCAACAGGTACTTTTCTGAGCTTGCAGAAAATGTACCCAGACTGAAAACATAAAACAAATGCAGCCACCACATGTAAGGATGGATCAGCTGCATTTTTTTTACTGACATTTTTTGGCTTGCGTACATTTTGCAACCAATTTATCAAGAGAAGCATGCATATCAGTGGCGTCACAAGGGGAGTGCAGGGGGTGCGGCCCGCACCCGGGTGACACCATTGCAGGGGTGACACCAAAATGACTGACAGTCATTTTGGTGTCACCCCCTCTAAAAAGTCGGGCACTTGGCCATGGACTGAGAGCCCGACAGTGTCAGGAGAGAGGAGGGGACCCGGCGGCATACCTCATCCCACCGGGTGAACATCCCCTCCTCTCTCTGCCGGCGTCCATCATTATGCGCAATGACATCACACGCAGCGCAATAATGACACGGCAGGATGTCACCTGGTCTGGAGACCAGGTGACACCTGGCCTCGGGACGCCCCTGATGCATATTGCCAACTTTGCCAGCATTCTGAATTTTTTCACATAGGTCTCCATGTTTACTCTGATGCTTTACATTTGTATCATTTTAAAGTGTATTTAAACCCAAACCCAAAAATTTAATTCATTTGACAGTCATTGATAAATATGCCCCATGTGGTATAACCGCCGCATCAACACATTGTCCACTGGGTGGCAGCAGAGAGCCAACTATGTCAATCGGAGCAGCCTGACCCCCAGGTAAGCATTGCCTGCTTCAATAGACACTCCTCAGTGGGTGTCCCTGAGCCCATCAACCCTCCCCATTAGGCAAACAGGACCAGGCATTCCTCTCCTAATTAACTCATTTACAGTAAAGGGACAGAGGTGAGAAGCTGGTCACAGCAGCACCATGAAAGGACACATTATTTTCTTTGGAGCGGCTCTTATATTTATTAGCATCCTTGTAAAACTTTCCCCCCAAGGACAAGATTCTTATAATGACAAGTACATGTCACTGCTGGGGTCCCCGCGCAGCCCCGACCTGCGCAGACAAATCGTGGAAAGGCACAGGGACCTAATGTTCTTCTATAGAACCTTACTGGGCTCAGGAAACACAGGTCCGGAGGATGAGGCGCCGAGGATTCTGGGAGCGGAGGTAGACCTGGCGTTCCGTGGGATGCTAACGTGCCAAGACCTCTCTTATTTGTCACGAATCGATTATATCGGGTCTGGCTTTACCAAACTGGTCCTGAGGGGGACTTTATTAAACGGCAAAGGCATCGCCGTCAAGACGGTCCACGGCGAAGGGAACGACGTGAGGAGCTGCGTGCAGGCGCACGGCGACAGCGTCGGCTGTCACCGACTGGCCACCTACAAACTGCAGAAGGAGATTGCGCTGATGCAGATTCTGCGTCACCCCGGCATCATCCAGGTACAGCGTCCTGATAAATATTCTAGGTGTATGTTACATATGAATGATTTCTATAGAGCTTAAAAGGTCAAACATCGAAAAGTCCATTGCAGAAATGATTTCTAAATGTAATTGCGTTGTTGTTTTTTTAAATCTGCGTGCGGTCTAAGAATTTTCTGGTGATCTAAGATGTATGATCTAATGCTGGTCATAACCTATACAATCTGATTGTACGATCTCCATTAGAACTACCATCCACTATGTAATGCTAAAACCTGCCTGGTTTTATACCAATTGAATGGAGTGTTTAGGTTTGTCCTCATATTACAGAGTCTTGGTAAATCTAAAAGAGATTGTATAGAGATTATGCAATCACATTGTATAATGGACGGCCAATCTAGATCAGTTCTAATGCTGGGCACACACCTTACAACCATCGCAAGACTTTTGTCTTGCGATGGTTGTAAGGTAATTAAAAAAAACGTACGATCTGCCTATCTTGGACAGGCAGATCGTACTTGCGATGATCGTAAGACGCGCCCCCCTGAGGGGCGGGCTGCTGATGACCGCAATGCCGAACGGGCAGTGTGCGCTTGCGCACACCGGCCCGTCCCGCTTTTATCTACACATGCTACACATCCGCCGAAAATCTATGATTTTCGGCGGGTTTTCGAACATGTTCGGAAGATAAAAGTCGTGCGACCGACCGTACAGTAGCAGAGGTCGCACGGCTTCCACACACCTTACGATAATCTTACGATCGCGGGATTTCCCGCGATTATCGGACGATTATCGCAAGGTGTGTGAACACCTTAAGACCATTGAAAGATCTTTGTGAAATCACATCTTCCTATAAACATGTGTGACCTGCATAAGTGGATACAAATTGATTGGACTGTTTAGGTTTGTCCTCGTAGTACCGAGTCTTGGTAAATCTAAAGGAGAGTGTATAGGGTTTGTACAATCACATTGTATAATGTATGGCCAATTTAGATCAGTTCTAAAGGTGCCCATACACTTTACAACCCTCGCAAGACTTTTGTCTTGCGAGGGTTGTAAAGTAATTTAAAAAACGTACGATCTGCCCATCTTGGATAGGCAGATCGTACATGCGATCATCGCAAGCCCGCCCCGCGGAGGGGCGGGCTTCTGATGACCGCAATGCTGAACGGGCAGTGTGCGCATGTGCACACCGGCCCGTTCGGCTTTTGCCTCCCGAGCATGCCACAAACCAGCCGAAAATCCTACGCTTTTCGTCAGGTTTCCAAACATGCTCGTTAGACAAAAGACGTGCGACCGTACAGTAGAAACGGTCGCACGCCTTCCATACACTTTGCGATTATCGTAGGATCGCGGGATTTCCCACGATTATCGTACGATTATCGCACAGTGTATGGGCACCTTAAAGGAGATTGTGTAGGGATTGTACAATCACATTGTATAATGTACAGCCCAATTTAGATCAATTCTAAGACCATTGAAAGATATTTCTAAAATCACGTCTTCCTATGAATATGTGCGACCTGCCTAAGTGGATACGAATTGAATGGAGTGTTTAGGTTTGTCCTCATATTACGGAGTCTTGGTAAATCTAAAGGAGATTGTATAGGGATTGTACAATCCCATTGTATAATATACGGCCCAATTTCAGACAGATCTAAGACCATAACATCTTCCTATAAATGTGCGATTTGTTTCTTCCAGAAGTGGATGGTTATGCACACAATCCCCTGACATCCTCGGAAGGAAACAATAGCGATCGTCTGATTGTTCTTTCCAGATCAGTCGATCACTGGGGACCTGCAAAGAAAAACAAAAAAACGGCTGTACATGTTTATGGAAAAACATATGGCTAGGCTAAAAAAGCTCATAGACGTTAGACAAATGTTGGCCTCAGTTGTGCTTTAAAGAGGAACTCCAGGATGTTTAAACGTTAACCCTTGCAGAAGTGCGTGCTACCCCCCTCCCCCCCCAGGGGGCCACCCCCATAACCCCA